ACCTTTTGGCATTTGTTCTTCTGAAGAATAAAATTTGTCAACAGAGAATAACGCGCGATACTATTGTCGCTGTCTGTACGTCGTTTCGGGTATTTATCAATCGTCCCTTGTGCACATGCTGCACACGGCTTCGTGTAAATATAATCGGTCGCGATATTCATTATTTCGAAGCAAATCGATGATTGATCGACCAGCGCAACCCGATGTCATATCGAAAGAAAGAAGCGCTATCGACAAATGGAATATTTATGACGATTCAATTTCACACGAGCACATTTTTTAATGAGTTTCCAGATTGCGGTTAATAATATTCCCCTTTTGGATACACAATTACTGTAGCGAATCAATACACATTAAATTGCATGCCGCAGTCTTGAAAGATCTTAAAAAATGTGTCAAAAAAAAAATATAAGACTTTTAAAATGAAGAAATTTATCATTCTCTTTCTGTTTCTTTACTATTTGCTGTTAAGTTTTTTTTACATTAGATAGAAGTGATAGAAAGTGTATTTGAAGATACAATGTTCAATATTAGTGCTTTCAGAATCTACTAAGGTTTCCTTCTATCTTGCACGGTCCGCGCTTGAATGTAATTTAATTCCCGGACAATTTCACGGACGTGATCATCGATAACAATTGGAAGAAATTAATTTCCGTAAACGTATCGGGATATAAAACGTGAGCGGAATTGTCTGTCACTCTGAAGATATATTTGTACAGAAAATGTAAAAAACATTATATTTTTTGTAAATTGTACACGTGTAAGAACCGTTGCTCGCAAGATGTTTATTTTTCCGTGTTATTCGGGGCAGTTGTTTTTCGTTTAGAAAACCGTAATAGTGTTTGTTAAAAAGATAAAGGTATATATTCCATTTATGTACATATCGAAAGATCGCGCTGCCTAATTTAAAAAAAAAAAAAAAAAAAAAAAACAAACAAACAAACACCAATGTATTGTCAGATTTCCAGGGGTAAAAAAATATGCTACAATCATCGCTCTGTATTGTTTCAAGGGACCGAAAGTCAAACCGTTCCGCGAGATATTGCGATATCGAAGTATCGCAATTTTTAAGAAAAATTGCGAGTGCGTTGCCTCAATATATTTGCAAAGCGTTTAATTTTTGAATTCTTTCATATCTGTGTGTAAAATGTGTGTTTGTTATTTCGTTGTATTACTTTTTATCTTCCTGAATATTTACCGACAGTTTTGTCGGTTCTATAATATAATATAACAATTGTTATAATATAACAATTGTTTGCTAAAGAAATGGTTTTTTTCTTACGCTCGTGACAAAGATATAAATCTCTTGCGTTATTTTACATTCTTCACATAAGCTTTGATTTTTGACAAGATAGATACATGCTTTACTCTTTGATATTATATTTTGTATTTTTATTAACATAATTATTTTTTCACGTTGCATTGCATCTTATTAATTATAGTAAATTTACCTTTAAATCGCCTTTGTGTAATTAAAAATAAGTTTTTAATGTTAGTGATTTTTTTCTATCAATGTTTTTAGACTAAAATTAATTAATTTAATCTTCTCTTAAGTAATTTTTTCTTTCTCTGTTATTGGTTTTGTTTCGGTTTGTTTCTTTTGTTACATTTATATATTTCTAGTTTTGTTTTTTCTTTTTTGTTATTATTTCTATCACATGTTACTTTTATTGTTTTTAATTAATGCTTGTACAACAAAGAATTTTTCTTGTTTACATAAAATAAATAAATAAATAAATAAATAAGTACGTACACAGAACAAATAAATAAATAAGTACGTACACATAACTTTTATTGGAATTTGACTTCATTGAAATAGATTTTCCGCTGTGCTCTCGTATGTGTATTTCTACAGAAAAATCGATTATTTCTACGTCATTGAGCTCATAACATTGTCTATCTCGACAACTGATCGAAAGTAACCGTCCGTTCCGCGAAATTGCGGTAAGAATTTATTTTTTATGAGACACACCAGAAGTTCAATATCTCTTCGGCCTACCCGACGTAGGCGAAGCTTCATTGTGCATCGCGAAGTTTCGCGCTAGCCAATTCCTCATAAAGCGCGCCGCGCTTCAAAGTTATTAATCAACCGAGGGATTCCACAAAGGTACTCGGTTATCAAAGTGAAGCAGATTTACGTTTTTTACCCGTGAGTGATCTTTCTATCTTTCTAAAAGAGGCAAAAAATTTACCTAATGCCGCGATTATGCGAAATATCCACTCCATTTTTTTTCGCCTGCCAATCTCCATGTGCATTTAAAAGCGCCTTTAATTGAATCATATCTATATTTGCATTTTTATCTATATGCGCGACGCGCACATTTCTTCTTAGATTCTACAATGAAAAAATCTCATATTGTTTTACACTTTGTCTTTCTAACACTCTCGTGTTATTTTAGAGGACATCTCTACAGAGATTTGCGGTAATTGATACAAATTACAAAGCTCTTTGAGTTTACGCCAATCCAGGATTCGTTGATACCGATCGGATTGCCACGCGAAGGATACTGCGCATCGAGAATATCCTATTTACTCTTATCTCATTATTAAGCTTCCTGATATCGCGACCGAAATGGCGTTCGATTTGTGACCTACTAATTAATTGTTTTGGTAAACTGTTTTGCAGTATAAATGTTTTTAAATAGGATTTGAAAATTACAAAATTATTCGCGTTATAACTTAAAATACAAAAATACGTAAATTTTAACTCAATATCAGCTATCAAATTATAGCACAGTAAAAATTCGTTTTTTTCAAAACGTAAATAACTACCTCAACATATACGTGTTTTTGCTTTCACTTTTGTTCTCTAAAATAAATTATTTTGACCCATCAGTAACTCTACATTTTCGCCACGGTGCTTAATAATTATACGTATCCGAGGTGAAAAGTTCAGAAAAGGTTTGGTTAAACAAGCAGAGCCGGAAATTTGCCCTTTGACGAGCGCTCGCAAACACGTCGTGTGAGTTAGTGAATTAACACATGCAAACGCACAAAGGAAAAGTTTTCGTTCGTCCATTACGTTTTGCTATTTGCTCACCATTGAATTTCGATACTACTTGATCCCGTGCAAAAAATGCCACATTTTCCTATTTCAATACTAGCGCGAGTTTATAATCATTATCACAGTAGATATGTCAACGACAAAACGCGCGCGATAAAAGCGTTCATTCGCTTTGTTCTTCTCTCTTTTAAATAAATAACCTGAAAAAATTTAAAATCGACTCGTTTTCCGCTTTATCGCTATACATATCGTGTTTCAATAAATTCAACGTTGTTACATTATGTAAACTAATTGCTCATTACGGAAGAGATAAAACTAGATACAACTTTCCTGCGTAACTCACACGCGATTGATAATGTAATAATGTGAAAACTGTTGTGAAAACTGAAATCTCCTCATTATAATGTAACACGCTTGCAAGGTAGCGTCACGTAAATTGCCAGTGTATTTTAATGTTTGATCAACTTCCGTGACATGAACAACAAAAGCAATTTTTGCTCAACTGCATTTCATATATATAATCAGTCGTTCAAACAATATTTTACATCAACTGTATGTCACAGTTTTATTATGTAACATATAAACTACAATATAAAGATTTCAAACATTTTGTATGTAACATATATATACGTTACAAAAACATCAAATTGAACGATAATCGATCGTATCGTATTTAAGAAGATTTGTGTTATTGCAACTTTATTTACGTTACGAGAGATCATGAGCACACAGAAGGAATTTCTTCAAAGGAACATGTAATAAAGAAACGACGTTGTATCAATGTAACAGTCAGAGCTTGTTGTTGTAAGAGTCTTCAGCTCTTGAAAATTTCATTCGCGTTTGCGAGATATAAACCACATCGGCGGAGCGGACTCCCGAAGAATCGCGAGTACAGATACAAACGTTGCTACGAGAGAGGTAAATCGCACTCCGCTACCGGCATTGTGGAAGTCACTCATCATTCTTCGAAATGCTTTCAGAAACTTCCGACTGAGAGATGAAATCTCTCCCGTTTTCGAACGAAATACAGTTGAAATAAACGCAAGACGTTACATTCGGTACAATTTACACGTACATACAACTTGTTACATCCATTTGTTACTCGTGTTGTATCTACACGCAAAGTTTCTCCCTTTCTCAAAAATAATATGACTAAAAAAATATCTTCTCCACCAAGAATAAACATAGTTGGTTCGCTATGTTTAATTTCCCAATTGATTCAAATGTGCGTTCAATTAAAAGATTAGACTTAAATGCGTGATATAAAACGTTTTCTTTCCTTAAAGTTTTTTTTATCACGCGCGATTATGATTTCGCGTCGCGTCTGTAATACACTGTTCTTGCGAAATGTACAAATGATACGTGTGAAGAAAGACGTATGTGAAATTCCCGATACGCAAACAAAGAGAATGAAAAAATGAAATAAAGAGTCAGAGCTCTTCTGTGTGAGCAAAAGTTTTTTGAGTTTACGGATGTAAAATAAAACTGCGCGTAGATAATAGCCAGAACTTCTTGCTTTTCTGTAAAAGCTCGCTTTTTACCACCCGCGAGAAGTTGCACGCGGTAGAATATTGTCGTCACCAGGTAAGCATCGACGCGTGATGTATTATTCAACACAGCAACCAACTATCATCGGACCGAGACATGTTCCTACGTGGACATTAGATTTCAAATGTAGGCGCTCTAAGTTGCACGATATCGACCGTGTATCTACTTTCGCAGAAGTACGTTCTCGCTCTTCAAGATAATGATGCACTTATAACAAGTAGCGTGTGACACATTGCAATTAAGCTTAAACTAAATTACCGTACTACTGCATAAAAAAAAAAAAAAAAACAAGAAGAAGAAGAAATCGAATTTTTGATTCCCAAGATTCATTTTTTCATTAAAAACGTAACGAACTCAGTATAAGATGCGACTTATAAAACTTGTGTTTTTAAACGTAAGAAAAAGTTTGTCGAAATTTTTAATGAAATTTAAAAAATTCCAATGTTACCTCTGGCCCGTGGTTTCGAAATTGCTCGATGACTTCTTGACTGGTTTTCTTTTATTTTTTATTTTATTTTATTTTATTTTATTTTATTTTAATTTTCTTTTTTTTTGTTTTTACACCACCGAGAGATGTGCGCTGTCGGAAAAGAAAAAGGCCGTCAAAGAAACGCGATCCGCACCCGCGGAAGCTCACCACGTGACTGACGGGAATGAAGTGTCCGTCGCGCTGCCGGGAAAAGCCAAACAGAAATCTCCTGTAACGCGCAGACTCGTTAGCGGATGAAACGTGTCAAAATAAAAAGTAAAACAAATTCATGTAATAGATATTCTTGTAGAGATAGACTTCTTTAAAACTTAGCTATGTTTTATTTTACAAAAGTCTTGTTTATTAACGTATTCATACCGTAACGACTGTTTTCTGTTGAAGAAATTGCATCTATATAAGTGCATGCGCACAGGGCGTACATGTTTACTTTTGAGAATATAGACAATATGTCAAAATATACAAATTGTTAAAAATAATTGTTATACTATTTTTCTAAAAAAAAACATTATTCACTCATACGTAAAGTTATATGTAAAAGTTATGTATTAAATTATTAAATGAGAAAAGATATTGCTAAAAACTATCTATCTTTCATAAAATGCAAAATAATATGTAATGTGCGCTACGCTTATATCATTTTGAAAATAAAATATTTAAAAAATATATATATTTCTTGTCATAATATTTTATTGTTTAAAAATAAATGAGTTTTTTAATGTATAAACTTTTTAATGTATACACTATGTACAATCTGTTTTTTTTAAATAAAACAAAACCGAATCTTATAGAAATAATAATAAATAATTCACGTGTAATGAGTTATTTTATGTTTGTCAAAAAATTTGTTCTATTCATTTAGATTTCGACAGAACAAAAGAATTACAAGCAATTATTAAAATAACGGTACCACATTAGTACATATGTTTGATATAAATAACTTATTAACAATCTCATAGTACTAATCGTAAATTAATTATAATTACTTACAACATTATATTATAATTATATAAATACTTACAAAAAAGTGACGGCATAAAAGTGTGGAAGATTGAAATTAATATTAAACTGTCATCTAGTGTCTCTCTCATGTATTTCGTAAATAATTCTAAAAGACCTTTTTATGCACTGTTGATAAAAGGCATGCTACTTCAATAATTAAATTTTTAAAAACATACAAAAAGTGCTAGTAATACACGTAAAACTTACAAATACAAAATAAATAAATTTCACAGCGCAATCGCTCGAATGATTAAATAATTATAATTAAAATTATTACCAGAGAGAAGCCTGAGAGTGGCCATGTCCACGAGTGGTACACATTGGAACTACGCAGCCAGTCCACGAGCGACATGTCCACAGCGTGCGGTTCTATTCTGTGCTGTGTGCACGCGTCTAATTGGTCATCTTCTTCAGGCGTGTGAGTATATTCGCGAGCGTGGATTTGATTTTTTTTGAAATTTAAAATGATCGGCCTCGTGATGAGAAGATACGAAAGAAGAACAAGAAAGGACAAAAAAAA